AGGTGACTCAAAAATATATAAACATTAAACATTCCAAAGTAAAATTCCTGGTAAAATAATATATTTTGATCACTCTTCTGTTGGAGTGGGGTAGGCGGGGCAAAGTCAACCAATCACAGTTTGTTTTACAGTATTTATTCACTTGTATCTAGTACTCAGCGAGAAAAATAAATCTTTTTGAGTGGCTTAGTTGACGAGGGCAGACAACCTAAACAATGTGAATGCTTTGTTTTAGCTCTTTGGTGGAAGAGAAGTAAACTGGCATTCCAAACTCCCTGCATAGCTGCAACTGTGACAACATAGTGTTAAAACTGTAAACAAACACCATTCTGCTTGGTAGAGGAATGGAAGGAGGACACGCTATAAAAATGCATACATAATAGCAGGGTAACAAGATTTTAAGCCTCTGTGGGCAAGGAAGGGAGAAAGTGATTGAAAATTGGTCTACCTTGGGTTCAATTAGAAATGAAATAAGCTGAACTTGGGCCAGGAGATGACAGGCAGCATGATGAGAAATCATTGATATGGGAGAAAAATAACACATCTCACATCATTTGAAGTAACATTGCTTGGGAAGACTGATATATTCACTTAACTAAAGGAAGATGCATTGAGTTCTATGGTTCTTTAGAGTGAACATAGATAGGATTGCACTGCCAGCTAATTACTAAAATTCACTAATTAATGTATTTCTTGTAGTGTTAGGTGTGCAGATGATCCTCAATTAGCAACTGCCTCATTTAATGACTATGTGAAATTATGATCTTCACAGGTCTGTAAAGGAAAGGAAAGGTAAAGATCTTAAGCACAGTTGTAGTTTCATTTAGTGACCGCTTTGCTTAATTTGCAAATTCCCAATTGTAGTCACTAAACAAGAACTATATACATTACCATATTTCTCGGAGTATAAGACACACCTTCCCCCTCCCCAAAAGAGGGTGAAAATCTGGGTGCATCTTATACTCCAAATGTAGCCCCACTCAGCTTTTCAAACGGAGGCATCAGAAACGAAGTTTCAGAAAAGAAGCCCCCAAACAGAGCTTCAGAAAGGAAGCCCCCAAACAGAGCTTCAGAGGCTTTTTTTCTGAAGCTCTGTTTTCAGAGGCTTTCAGAAGCAGGAAAAAAAGTTTTTTCTGAAACGGAGTTTCAGAAGTTTCAGAGGCAGAAAAAAAACCCAAAAGAAGCAAGACACAGAGCTCACAACCAAGGAACCTGTTGCTAAAATTCACCTCTGGGAACAGCTGATTGGGGGTATTTTGGGAGGCTGATCCAACTGCCAATCAGCTTTTTTCTTATTTTCCTCCCAAAAATCTAAGGTGCCTCTTATACTCAGGTGCGTCTTATACTCCGAAAAATACGGTACTTTGAGTTTAAATTGTTTTATTTGAAATAATCTATCTCAGCAATTTAGGAAAAGTCTTGAGCTCAAAAATGCTCACATGAGTATCAGAAGAGTGGCTGAAGTTCTAAGCGTTACAGCAATGCTGATAAATGGTATGGATATCAAAGAAAAACTGGCTATTTTTAAAGGGGAAAATAATATGAAAGGGAGGCCCATATATTTGGGTAGAAGTGACATGATTTCTATATCATGAAAATTGTCATTTTATAGCCATTCAAATGCCAGATAACTACTGAGTGGATATATTTAGTGCCTTGGCCTTTTGGGGATCCTGGTCTCAAAATGCAGCACAAGACAAAAATTGTTTCACCTGAAACATGTGGTTTACAGGTGAAATGTCTTGGAACAGATATGAAGCATCAGTAGATTTTCAGATGGTGCTGCAATGCAGACTTCGGCATCTCTCACCAATAACTCTGCTGGCTGAGATTCCTCACTTGTTCTTCCTGCCCATTTAGAGGTCTGAGGAATAAAACTGAATAAACATAATCTTTTGTTTTTGGCTCTGTGGTTTTTGCTTGCTACCATTTGGGTAAATACTGACTTGAGGTGCAGTTGAGTGAGAAGAAAATCGAGTTCTCTGTCAATTGCTATCCTCCACTGTACTGAGCTGACATTTTCTCGGAAGCTTTAGAGATAAAAACTAGTTAATCCATAGCTTCTTAATCTTCACTGCCTGCCTGCCTGGACCATCAGTTTTCTATTTATTTTTCTGCCCTGTAATACCTCTCCTCTTTCCTCGAGACTACACTCTGGTCAGATTTGAGACAGATTGCTAGGTGTTGCCAACCCATCTTGATAAGAAGGAAAACATATACATACGTACATATATACATACAATAAAAGTCTTTTCTTCAGTTGGTAGGAAGTATTTAATTGCTAGTCCCTGACAGTTATAATGGAATGTTTGATATTTTGCAGCAGTGAGTAAAATGGAGCTATATAATTTTGTTCAGCTTTGCATAAGCATCCCATTCAGTTTCATATATTTCTATGACTATTGCATACCTGCTGAAAATGATTATGCTGGAGCAGAAATATAAGCAAATTCAGGATTGTGAGAAAATTCCTATGAGCCATTTTTCTAAGGTAAAAGGTGAATCTCACGACAATCCGTGGTTGCTGTCAAAAGGGATAATTCATTCCTTAGTTCTGCGATTCATTTCTGTGGTTCAGAATAATTTAGCAATAATAATAATAATAATAATCTGTGGATTGTATTAATTGTATCTTCTTTTTCTATCACTCAAACTCTGCAAGCATCTTTTTTTTTTTAAAGCTCTTAGGTTTTTTTTTTAAACCACAGATTTATTCAACTATTGTTCCTTGTTCCTAAATGACTGTCCCAATCCCCTCTCCCCCACAAAAAAAAAACCCCTGCCTTCTTATCCATTGTGGCTGTCAGATTGGGGTCACAGAGGTAGAAATGTCCTGTTGTCAGGTGTAGGAAGAAATATCCTTCTGGGTTCAGCTCCAAGTGGGAAAAAAGACACTGGAAACATGGAGACTGCTTGGAAAGATGGTTTAATGGTGGACAGGATCACATGGTTTGAGTTCCTGAGCAGAAAAGAGAAGAGATGCTGAGAGTCCATGGGTTTTATGCCCTCTCTGGGCTTTGAACTTCCTGGGGCCCAGAAAGAGTATCCTGATTGGTTGTCAGACTCCCAGGGGGTGGGGGTCTTAGCTAGCCTTGCTGGCTGATGTAATCTTCCCAGGTGCCATGTGGTGAGTTTCTGTCCTAGATGGGTCCTACTGTGTTGCAGATGAGTTTCAAAGATTGAAAGATTGAGTTTCTGCCTCTGGCCCATTGACAAAGGTGGGGGCAGGAAGATGGGAGCTGCTTTGTCTTTAAAACATGCTTCTCCATTTCTCATACAGGGAAACATAATCTGCCTTTTTAATATTTCCCAAAATATTTCATTCCTGTAGGAAAGGGGTGGGTGCTAACTTCCTACACAGGAAAATAGGATCTCATTACAATATAGTTACTAGTACAAAATACACTAAAAGGATCTGCATCTATAATACAAATATAGTCAGGAAATAAGTAAATAATTACCACTTCTGGGAGGGATTGGAACCAAGATTGGTCATTCCACCAACTCAGTTTCCAACTGTTGCCTTACATGTTTTGTTTTGCTTTTTAAGGAAATAATCTGTTGGAAGGGGTACCAAGTTATTTTTCAAAATATTCAAAATTTGTATTCTCCATGGCATGCAATTTTAATACATTTTTTTTCCTTTGGGAAATAATCAGCATATGACTCCCTATAAGTATGTCAAGTGGGAAATCCATATATAGTGCCACTACATCTATTTAAAATGTACTGCAGAATGCTGTTTCCAGGGAAGAAATATTCAGATAAGGTTTCAGACAGAGTTGCCTTTGCTCAAGAGCAAGTAATGGCCTTGCTCCAGGCTATTGCCCACGCAGGTTATCAATTAACATCTTACTGAAGTTTATGGACTTAATCTGGAATCATTAAATATTAAAATGCAAATTGATTTTAGAAGCCAGTCATGTTTGCATTGTAGGTCAATACTTAAAATTGGGAGAAAGAGGCTGTGCTTTAATTTTCAGAAAGGAGCTTTATTCTTGTCACTGGTTCAGTGCAGAGCAAAAATAAATGTTTGTTGTCCAAGAAAATCGCTTTAGATTTCAAACATTGGCATTGCTAGATGGTAGTTTATGCTCTTAGGATGTACTTTAGAATGCAGAGTGAGAAGAACGAGCTGTATTTGCTCTGAAGTGCTGACCCAGGAAGATACTTGAAGCATGTAACTAGCAACACAAGTGCCTCTGAAATTAACTCCCTGACTCCTATTTGCCAAAATGTATTGTGATTTCAAGGCAGTTCTGGGAAGTTCTAAAAAATTTGAATTTAGCATTGTATTTTATGCTTTGTTATTACCATCACAGTAGATTTAAATCAGTTTTCTAAGATTACTAGGTAGGAATTGTTGGAAGAAATGTCTATCTGGGTTCAGTTCCAAGTGGGGAGAAAGACACTGGAAACATGGAGACTGCTTGAAAAGATGGTTTAATGGTGGACAGGACCACATGGTTTTGAGGTCCTGGGCAAAAAAGGCACATGGGTGAGAGAGAGAGATATAGATTTATACCCTCTGTTGGGCGTTGAATTTGAGCTTGTATTTTGATTGGTTGTCAGATTCCCATGGGGCCATGCAGGAGTAACTCTGTAGGTTGCCTGTGTCCCAGGCTTGGTTGAGCCTTGCTGGGTGATGATGTAATTTAAGAGCTTTGGGCAGGTCGTACTACAGCTCTGCCTGAAGGAGGTAGATCTTTGTTATGTATAGTAGACTGGCCAAGGCCTTAATGGCCCATTGACAAAGGTGGGGGGCCTGAGATTCTGCCTCCGTTTTAGGAGAAATATTCTGCCCCTTTAATATTTCCTAAAATATCTCATTTTCCTAGGAGAAGGGTGGGGGCTAACTTCCCACAGGCTGTTGGCATTGCAATATTCTTTGAGTACTAAAGCAGAAAACATTAACTAAATCCCTTTATGGCTCCCAAGCCTTCCTGCTGCTATTGTTTGATTTTGTTTGTTACTCTGAAAACTTATTCTTTTATTATCAGACTTGTCTACAGGAGTCATATATCGGAGAAGGATTGCAACATGCCAAAATGTAATTCCACACATTTTAAGAAAGGTAACTAAATTCAATCCATTAAAATTCATTATAAAGATGATAGAGGCAAACTATGCTTTTGTTCAAAATTCATTAGTTTAACTTTTTGGAATTACAGATGACAGCATTTAAAATCTGACTTTGTGTCTTAGAGAGGAGATAGCTAGTGTTCAAAGTCCTTATCTCAAAACGAGGATTTGTAAAACAATCAAAGTAACATTTTTTACAATATAGTTAATTTAGCTCTAGAATCAAAATAGAAAAGTGATTCTTGTTTTAAGCTTCTAATACCATCAACTTTCAAATTAAATTACAATATTTATGATATACTGTATGTTCTGCTATGTACGATACCATTTTTTAAAGTGCTTTTTAAATTTTACATATTAAAAATATAATAATTCAATTTTACCACATTTCTCTTTACTCTTTCCATGCCTCATCTAGATGGGAAAGCATAAAATTTACAGGTACCAAAGAGAATGAAAAATGAACCCAAATGTTTTGAGTATTGTCTTGTGAGCAAACAGTTGATGCTTTCTTTTGGAACTGTTACGTTAAAGTGGACTTAAAAAAGAAATAAAATGGCACACATTAAGTTGATGCTTTGCTTTAAAATGTTGCAGTTGGCAACATTTAACAAGTTACTAAGCAGTGGAAATAACTAATAAAAGTTGCATGTTTATCAAATGTCAATGTTGTGTCAGTGGTTACATGTTACTGATACTGTAGATATTAGCCTTAATATAACTATTAATGATTTTAAAAGAAAGAAATTATTTACTAATGTACATAATCTGATCTTTTTTTCCTCACTCCATTTATTGACCATTATAAACGTTACATTTGACAGATTAGTATCCTGAAAGTATCAGAAGTCTACTTAGAAGAGGAGTCGTGGCTTAATATGCAAGATAGAATTATGTCTATGAAGACTCACTGTCTTACGTGGACAGAGTATGCCACCCTAAATGAAGAATCGGTCTTCAGAGAAAGCTCTGAAAATCGAAATTGGTAAGTTGTAGTAGGTTCATTAGAAAGTGGTATTTGTATTTTCATTTCTTGTATCACCTTCAATAGGAAGAATTAAAGGTTTTACCTTGGGCATCCATGATGGTTCTTAGTGATATAGTAAGTCTGTGCAATTTATGAACCACTAAACCAAGGGCTGCTTGCTGCATGTATATTGAGATGTATTGAAAACACTGATTTGGGGTTCTTCTTTAACATGTTCTTTTAGTTTGTCAAACAGTTTACAATTGATAGATAGGATGTCATGCAGCTCTATAAAAGTCATAAAAGACAGTATAAAAATAATCCTTCTGGTACCTGGTTGATTCTGAAGCCTTACTTTTATATTCTTTATACTGCTGTTATTATTTATTGGTTGCAATATTTTGTGCCATTTTTCACACTAAGAAGTTGTCCATAAACATTTTATTAATAATCATTTTTGGAAAACTGTTACAAATGAAAAAGAAACAATATCGGCAGACAAACATAAAATTAACAGTAACATCCCATTAAAATCACTAAAACAACAATGTGGTTTTGAAAATTTATTTATTTATTTCCTTCCTTTCTATTTTTATAAAAAGACACTGATGCATTCCAGGACTGCTATAGAGGAGGGGTTAATCAGCCTAAATTCAGTGACGGGCATCCCACCTTGAAGGGAGAAATGCAATAACATTTTTCAACATTTGCAAACCATCAGAACTTGCAACATTAGGAGAGGGAAAAGTGGGGAAGATAATGTAGAATCTGAAAGATCCAATCCTTCATATTACTTCACCCAGAGAGAAAACTTATACCAACCCTGCAGCTGATTTAATAGAATTATTTCCCAAATGTTGTTCACAAATAACAACTCTGTAAGGTGTATTTTCTAAAATCTGATTACACTTTAATAGTAAAGATTTCTTCAAATGAAGGCAAACTTGGTTTTATTTTTGAGCTGTTTTGCAGTTGTTCTGGAAAAATAAGCAAAAGTAGTGAATCAATGATAAAAACAGGAGTAGCATCCAGACAATTGTAGTATAAAAGAAGAGTGTGCGGAGCTTAAAAATTGTCTTGCATGTTATAAACAACTGGCTCACTGCAATAAATTTTTTAAGAAAGGCCCATGAAATAAAAATGTAATAGTAACTGGCCCAAAATTAATGTATTATAAAAAAAGTTAATGTTGGTTGAAGTAAAATATGTGGATTTTTTTTGATAGGTATTTTTATATGAGCTCCGTTTTCTGCAAGAAATGCATTTAGCAGATAATTAGAATGTACAGCAAATAATAGTCACTTAGTTGTATTACATGGACACTATTGTGATCTAGGCTTCCTGAGTCATTAAAACACACGAGTAGTTGCAAAAACCTCTTTTATTGCAACAGCTGTGAATTACGTTCATTCACAGCTGAGTCCCAATTAGTTGCAAAAAGTCCTTCGGGAGAAGTCCTTCGGGATAATCACCAACCTTTATCTCCCTTGACACACTGCCAAAGACCTACTTTGCAAAGCCACATGGAGTCCAGAATCAAATAGAGATGCTGACTGGGAACAGAATTAACAACGTTGCTTTCTTGCAAAGGGCCCATGTGCCTTTCTTCCTCTTTTAAGCCTTATGGGAGGGGCCAATCATCTCCAGGCCTTACTCCCGAATTGTCCCTTTAGTTTTAACTGTTCTTGCCTTCTGGCAGCTCTGCGCATGCGCACACTAGGAACAGGCTCCTCCTGTTTCTCTGGCTCTCTGATGTCTAACTCTGGAGGCTCCGGAGTCCATGCATAACTCCTAGATGGCCTTGGCCCCATCACTGCCTCCGACGCAGAGCCCTCGTCCGAGCCTTCCCCAGGCTCCAGGACTGGCCCATGTTCCTCCCCAGCCTCCTCATTGTCGGACTCCTCTGCCAGCTCTGCAAGCTGCTGGAGGACCACAACAGACACACACAAAAGAGGTGCCATTTTTTTTTTATTTTTTTAAATAAATTTTTATTATAGTTCAAAAAAACAAAAACAAAAACAAACGTATAATAGTTTTTCTATCATGGTGTAACCACCAAAATATCCATGTATATATATACCAATAATCAGAAAGTAAAAGTAGAAATTATTTACATATTTTTATATACAAATTTACATTTCCAATACTTATTGATTACCATAATTATACCATCATCTATAATTATAATCCAACCTTATCCTTTATCTCTCTCCCATCGTTTCTGGATCCAATCATACCACATGTTCCAACTACTATAAAAATCTTACAAAACTGATCAAGGGTAAAAGAGACTCAGATTTTTAAAAGAGGTGCCATTTTGTTCATGTGGACTGGGACCCATTTTCCTGTGGTTTGAATCTATGGAAAGCTGCAGGGATATTTTTAGTCAGTTGGTTGGAATTAATTGGGTTTAAAAAGTGTTGGCCGAGAAGGACATGCTTTTGATTTCAGTCTTGATTTCAGTATGAAAAGACAGCAGTCCTCATAACTTTGTCTGAATTAATTTTTTGTGGCTCACTTTTAAAGACTGGAGTTGTAGAGGATGAAAAAAAGAGCAAATCAGTTGGGAATGTTACATGAAGTCTTGGAAACAACAGGTCCATTACAAAAGTATATTGGTCAGCTTCTTATTTTGAAGTGAGAGGGACATTTAGGTTCCCAGGAGAAGGATATGATTTTCATCCTGGGTTAACATAATTGAAACAGTGAAGGGTTTATCTTTTGATTGTTTTCTCTTTAAAACATACCTATATTCTAATTCCTGTTGGACTCTTAACATTAATCAGGGCTTCAAATGATAATGGCAACGATTCTGAAATTTCATTTCAATAGCCGGGAGAATCTTTTCAAGTGCCAGTTGGCCTAGCAGGATGAGTCAAGGATAAAAGTTTTTGTAGATTGTATAAACAGAACTCATGTTTCCTCAAAATAAAGGGATTTCTAAGGATTCTGTGTAAACTCTGATGTAGTCCCAGGATTTAATTTGGAAAGGGGGAATATAAAGTATTATCAAAGGTTTCAGCAGAATGGTCAACAAAAGCTAGCTCATGCAACATGACTGCTGATAGAACTCAGGAAAAATTCCCTTGTATGAAACAGTAAACTGACATATGGTTTGCTATTTCATATCATGGACTTGCTCTTTATAGTCTGGTGCATTAATTTCTTTGGAGCTTCCCAAACACTAAGTAATCATCTTTTTTCCTGATGAGAAAATCACATAGGCTAATGCACAATTGATACACTGTGAATGAGGAAGTAAATGAATAAGCTACTAATGCTGTTGATTCAGAAAAGACAGTGAATGATCCATCAAGTTTACCTTGCAATTTGCAGTTTGAGTGTTAACCTTGTCTTCTCATCTGTTAACCTTAGACAGCACTTATAGCCAAATGTAGGCTCATCTCTCTCATTTATATTGACAATAAAACAAAGAAAAAGCTTCTCTGGATCAGATAAAAATCTTATTTGTTTTACCTTTTTTTTTTTTTGTTCAATGCAGTAGCCAAGCAGGTGCTTTCAGTAGGCTCACAAATCTGAATTTCTGCCTTTATGTATATATATTTTCTTTATGGATTTCATTTTTTTCTTTTCCAACTAATCCTGAACAACAGACCATATTAGTCTACACGGTGCCATTCTGATTTTTTAAAAAAAAAAATTTAAGAAGATTTTTTGAAAAGTACTTTTCTATTGTTTTCTACAATGAAACTATTGTATATACCACTCAATCACTCATATTTGTTTGTAACCTTCAATTTGGCAAAACTGTGCCTCATAGGGCAACAGTTTTTCAACCAAGGTATTTCATGTGAACTAACTTACAGAATGCATCCAAAATCCCATCTTGAAATTTGGCAAACTTCTGCTTCTTCAGCATAGGTGCATTACAATGGTCAGCTGTTGTCATGTGATCGGCATTTCCAATGCTTCCTGACAACTTTTCACAGTCAAAGGAGAAGCTAGCAGGGAGTTTAAAATCAACTGTGGCAGGAACAGAGGAAGGAAGGAAGGAAGGAAGGAAGGAAGGAAGGAAGGAAGGAAGGAAGGAAGGAAGGAAGGAAGGGGATTCAAAAAAGAGCTGGCAGGAAGTTGGAAATTTCTCCACTCCCACTGATTTTTTGTTCAACAATGAGCATTCCTGTGTTTATGTAAGGAATATCTCTGCAGTGATGACCCAACAGGACATGGGTTGTCTAAATAAGATTTAGTGGGAGAGAGAACTCCATGGATAGTGAATGTTCTTTGCTATGGCTAGTTAGCTTATTTTGAAGTCTTTCTACCCATCTTAAGTCATTTCTGCTCCTATATTTAAATTCCAGTAATGGTAGAAGCCTTTGGCAGTAAATAAAAAAACATGAAATCTTTGCATGGCAGTATTGTTGAAAAAGTAACAAGATATGTTCACAAAAATGTAATTCATTAGAAAATATAGGCTGAATATTGAGTGAGCTGAATAATATAAGATAGCAGAAAGCAAGGAGGCTGGATATTTTAGGAAAAAATGATGTGAAAATATCCAGAATCAATTTTTACCAAATGAATAAAATTCATTTGGTAAATGAATTACTGAAGACTATTACACCTTGAAAAAGTTGTAGCACTATGAATTTTTCTCACTTACCTAGCTTTTAAAGTATGCTAGGATTGCTTTTGACAATACCTGAAGGATACAGTTTGAAATTACAACAGAATCATTTCTTCCTTTTTAATGTACAGCTTGCTGACATTCTTTGTCATAGTGTGCATTGCAAAATATGTCCCCCCCCCCAATAATCATAGAAAACGAGAAGCTAAAATGGCAAAGTTAGTTTGCTGTCTACTTCCCAGAGCTTCTCATGTAGAAATATGTGGAAAATTAGTCCTTGATCCTTGATCTGGGGAAATAGGATTTCTGGACATCCTATTCTAATCCTCAGGAGGAGCATTTGGTTTTAAAAAGTCAAACTGAATATTGCAGCTCTAAGCTTTCTAAGCTCATCTAATTTCTGCTTGCTAGTAGAACAAAAAGGGGCTAA